CAGGACTTTTGTGGGTTATGTCAGTCATATTACATGCACAGTGTATCTGACAGTTGTCCAAACTTTGACTGGACCATTTGATTTTACCGTTGTAGCTCTGACAGTCTGTTTTTGTTTGAAAAGTCTCAAATTCTTCCAGTATTATCCTGTTCTTATCGCATTTTAACATTAACTCTTAGAATTGTTTATGTCCCTCCTGAAGGAAAACCTCCCCTCAACATGATGCTGCCACCACCATGCTTCACAATGGAGATGTGCAGAGTTAGCTTTCCACATAGTGGTTTTCATCTATGTTTGACAAGATGAAAACCACTATCATCTATGTATCATCTATCAACCACTATCATCTAAAACCACTTTCATCTATGTTCTTCCATTTTTGCATTTCCCGCAATGCATATGGGACTTCTTGTGCATTTTTTTAACAACAGCATTCTCCTACCGCTCCATTTCCCAAACAATAAATTGCACAACTAATAGTTGCTCTTCCACCTGAGTTGTGAATGTCTGCAGCTTCTCCAGAGTTACATCAGTCCTCCATGACGTTTGCTGCATGAATCAGTTTTAATAATGCTCTTTATTCCCAATAAACCTCTAAGATCATCACAGAATAGCTCCACTTCTTACTATTATTACTAGATTATATTTTGGAGCACTAGGCTATTGGGAGCTGAACACAAATTGATTGTTTTCTTTTTCTTTGTAATTATTTTCCTTAATTTGTTGCATATGTCAGTCATATTACATTTACAAAAGTTGTATTTAGTTGTATGAGTATTTGTGCAAGGCACTGAAGATGAACACAATGTTTTTATGTTGGCCTGTTTTATTCAATGAAAGAAAAGCTATGCATTCTGGAAAAGTCTGATCAAACTGTAAGTGATAGCAATTTCTCTGTGATCTGTGAGTAAAAAGCAGCAAACATGGTCCGCGCCTTTGCCTTGTTTGAAGCGCTCATGCTGCTGAATGATTAGCAGAAATAATGTCCCTGTCACCCTTAATCACATTAAAACGTGGTTAACATTTAATTTTTCCCACTTGATATGCAAAAATTTCCACTTGATTTGCAGCAGAGGCCATTGAAGTTCCATTATAAAGAGAATAAAAATTTCAGGCATCATTTGTTCAGAGGGGGATATCAGGACCAGAAAGTGCTGAATCTGTCTATTAGCAGAGCAGTGAGAGATGGCACTCTGCATTGGGACATAATGGGAGACTGACAAGAGACACTTACACTCAAACAGTCGTTCTTCAGAGTTGTAAAAGCTTTCAAAAGTGAATCTAACTAAGGGAATGGGTTGTTGAAATCTTTTTTTGTTGGATTTCGTCAAATCTAACTGAAACAGATTAAATTAGATTATAAATCTGCTCAAAAAACACATGAAAGATGAACTGAAGCAAAGTTTACGAAAATATTCCATCACATTTGAACATCCACATAAGTAATTGGAAGCCACATAAATATACAGAAGAAAGTAAGACCTGGACATAGAGGAGATGCTGACAGAATTGGTTTCGGGCTCCGTGTTGACGGTACATCAAAGCTCTTAATTGACAGCGCTTTGTTTCTGGAGTTGAGGCAAGGGGGTGTTTCATGTTCCCTCATGGCTAGGTGTTTGTCTGCTCCTATGTCAGTCAGTGCAAGGACCCAGAGACCCCCGGTGCTCATTTGCAGCTCACATTCTCCGTCTCAGCTTCACATTATTAAAATCATCCCTCAGCCCTCCACCAATAGCCTCTTTGTTACCCGGCCGGCTCGGCTCGGCTCGGCTCTGTCAAAGTCTTCACCAATTACAGTCCCAGGTACAATGGTCTATTCAAAGGATCACAGCCCTTGACTGGTGTGGAGAGAGTGATTTGTGAATCATTATTCAAGCCGCCTGTAGAGAACGCAATACCTGAGGAATGCAAATAACGTGCCACCAAATAGACAGCTGTGCTGCTAAAAGTGACAAACTACAGCTGTTATTATCTCAGATTGGATTTTTCCCCCCTCATGGAGCGCCCCTCCGTCTCCTATGTTTTGAGGCTTTTTGGCTTTTTCTTATTTTCCTGTGAGACTCTGGTTGCCACCTTTATTCAAAATGCAGAAAGAAAAGGGAAATATTAGGTTATGGCTCTTAATAGCTGTGCATGTAAACTGAGAAACAAACTGACACTTAAACAGCATTCAGTCAAAGCAAACGGCTCCGTTCTTGGGTGCGTTACCCTGTCATATGTTGTATATTGATAATCAGTAGGTAGAAGCGGTGATCTGGTGCTGCGGCCGATAACGCCGGGGACATTGTTATTGGTACAGATCTGATATTGAGGCGCTCCGGGTTCCTCCCAGGCTTTGATTCCTTATGGGGCCTTTAAACAGGAAACCAGGATTACACATAATGACAGGGCCCCCCTCAGAATCAATCCGGGGCCGACATGTGAAAATGGATTTGTGCAATGCTGCTCTTTGCCATCCATCCAATCCCAGCCTCGGAGCTTGTGGAGCTAATCTCATAATTGCCCTAACCCCCTTGTATTGTTCTGACTGAGGGTGCCATTAAGTGAGAGGATATCTTTGTCCTGCAATGTCAGGTGTCCTGCTGGAAGAGGGAGACAAAAAAAAAAGAAGTGACAAAGACATTTAAAAGTAAGGAAACACTTAGTGGTTATTTGTTCTTTTCTCTCCGGGCTCCAGGCAAAATGTTTATTTAACACCCAGCAGGTACATCAAATGTCCCCCCATAGTAAAACATTGGCAAAACAACTGAAGGTTTGGGTTTTATGTTATCTGTTGAAATATTCTTCTTTTACACTCCTTCTTGGCTGAATTTCAAGTTTTTTACCTGCCATTTGTTTGGTTACATTAGTTTTTCTGATAGGCATTCATTACCCTCAGCCATTAAATTGCACCCCTTATGTATGCTTGCCAATTTCTTTTTCTCCCATCCCATCATCATCTCTGTGCATATCAGGAAGATCAACTTTTTTTCTTGCCAAGTCTTGCTTGTCACAGTTCCAGCTGTTTTAAGTTGCTTAGTTATTGTTGACTGTGTTTTAAGAGCAGGTTCAGGTCAGTAACTGTTTTCTTGTGAAACTTTCCAGACTTATTAAGATCAAGATACATTTGTTAAGACCACATGTATACTGAATGTCCAGTCAAAGCTGAGTTGTTGCATAGATTAAATGTGAATCAAACTCCAGTGTGAACCTCTGACGGTCCTAAAGTAATGAAATGTGTGTATATGTTTGAATTGGCTTTATTCTGCAACCAGTTTGCTGTGTATTGCAGACTTCTGCCCAGGTCCCTCCTGAAAATGAGATCCAGATCTCAAAGGGTTAGATAAATAAAATAAAAAAAATAAAAAATGAATGCACAGACTGAGATCCTTTGTGTCCGCAGTGTGACTGTTGATTGTCTCTTTATCAGGTCACATTTATGGTGCGTTCAGCTTTGACTCTGAATTTGGAGATGGGACCTGGGAACGATGTGATACTTGAGCGTCTTCTCTTGGCAACTCGGACAACATTACCATTGGTGTAATGTTGTCCTAATGTTGTCCTAATAAACTCTAATCATCCCTATTTTAAGAAACATGTTTACCAGCTATTCCAGTGGTTTAAGGAGATTTAAAACTTTCAGAGGAAGTTTAGATTTGCTACATTACCTGCTGCGTGTCACCTATGCACAACTTCCATAGTCACAATACTGAGCAAGAATTCCCACTTAGGCAATTTATTTTATTATTTCAACTCAGAGTGAAATTCATATAGATTTGTTAAATGGTAAAATAATTCTTTTTTTTTTCTCTTGCTTATTTTTTGCTTACAATTATTTCTAAGGAAAACCCAAAATTCAGTTATTCAGAAAATTAGAATATACCAAAATCATTTCTCTTTAAAAATGAGTCCTTGGTGTGGCCTACATAATCATCAGGTAGACAGAATTGTGTCCAAACGTTGTATTAGAAAACACAATGTAAGGAAAACATTTGGTTCCTTGTGATTTTGTAGATCATAAAATGGGCAAAGCAGCATTTTTCAGTGTCTTTCTGTTGATCTTATGGACAGTTTTAATTTTGCATGAGACAGATGTCTGAGTCGTCATTAACTGTAAGCATAACATGAATACAAATATTACATAAATATGTATGAATTTCACCATTTTTAAATCGAATTACTAAAAGAAATTCACATGTTTATGGTTTTCTAATTTATTGTGATGCATTTGTATTTCCAGCCAAGATTGATGAAAGCCCAGCCTGCATTTGCATATATGCACCATTATGGTACAGGTCAGCTAGTCATAGAAAACTTTTCAGTAGAAAAAATAATTACAAAACATGTTATTTACATTTGTAAGTGCCCACAGGGCACTTGCAAAGAAAGGCAGAAAAAGGATAATGGGAAAAAAAAAAATTCCATTTAAAAAGATGAGTCTTGTTGTTTTTTTCGTTGTGAGTTGTTTCCACTGTTATTAAACTAATTTATTGTTTCAGGATCAATATGTTTTAAAACCAAATGAAGAAATTTTTAAATTTTCTGTATGAATCAGATATATTTAGAAGTGAATAGTGAATATTTTTCACTTCCCCGAGTGAAAAACTTTGAGCTTAAGTATAATTTACAACCTTGTAGCAATAATTCAGTAATGCTGACAAAAATCCAGGTGTAGATCTAAGAAATAAGGGCATGTAATAAAGCCAATATTATATGATATTTTATATGTACGGATATAGTAAATCCATCAAATAAAATTTAAAGCATTTTTTTGTACAAAATGTATTTGTTAATATGAACACCAATAATGAGTTTATTCACTTCTAGTATTCTAACCATAGGCCTTTAAAAAAATATTAATGCCTTGTTTACGTCACTGTCTCCATTCAAACGAATCCATTTTAAACTCCCCTAAAAAGATATTCATATTCTCTGCTGCTCTCATGAATATGGATTTCCAAGGCCACAACAAATACCCCCTTCTCAATCAAGTCTTCTTTGGTTTGCCGTTTCTCCATCAGGTTGGTGAAAATCAAGGAGTGGGTGGACAGTCACGACCCCGGAGCCTTGGTCATCCCCTTCAGCGGCAACCTGGAGAGTCGACTGCAGGACATGAGCGAAGAGGAGAGACAGAAGTGCTGCAAAGAGCACAAGACGCAGAGGTTAATTAGCATTCAGTCTCCCCACACTTTATTATCAGCTGTGTCCTCCATGCACCCCTTTAATTGCATGTGCTGATAGAATAATAAATGGCAGAGTAATTACCATTATAAAGCAAAGGATCCCTCTTCTTACTGAACAACTCAGTCAAAGGGTTTTCCTCCAAATTAAGTTTTTAACTGTCATCTGTCATCTGTAGGTATAATTATAACTTGGTGCATTTTGGGTTTATTGTTCTCGTCTGAAAACCTCTATGGAGAGAAAAATTGTGACAGCAGAGACATTTTTTTTCTTCTTTTTTTTTCTCAGCAAAGACCGAGGCGTCGAGTTGAATTCTTAAAAATGTTAAATGGGACTACAAGCATTCTAATTAATCATGCAAACCATTGGAGAGTTGAATGTCTCATGTGAAATGAAGTGACCCATCTTGCTCACTTAATGAGTTTGTATTGGAGTAAACGGCGCCTTGCCGCTGAAGGGAACTTTTCCCAGGCGTCAGCGAAGTATGACAAAACGATTCAGACCCTTTGATTCATGCTGAAATTTCTCCCCACCAGTGCCCTGAGCAAGATCATCAAGGCGGGCTATGCGGCCCTGCAGCTGGAGTACTTCTTCACCACTGGCCCAGACGAGGTCCGTGCCTGGACCATCCGGGTGAGAGCCGGCCGCAGCGTCGTGTGAACACACACCGCATCCCACGTTCCACCCTGCTGGTACCTCCGCTGATATCACACACTTCCAACTTTGTCATGGTCGTGCTTTAGCTAGTCATTACAGGCTGAGGATAACTTCAATTACTGGTGAGCCGCTGAACGGTGAAAGTGGGGGCCCACATTGATTGAGGAGGACAACAATTGATTTTGCCCATTACGTCCGTGAGAATGTTTCCATCCTGTGCAGATCTGCCTGCCCTCCTCCTGCCGCTGGAGATAAGGAGGCCGTCCATTGTGCCTGCCTAATCTGTGTGACGGAGGGTGTCTGTGCCAAAATTGATGTCGCTTTTCATCCGACTGTTTGTGGGCCTTGCTGGGGGCTCCTCCTCCATGTGTGTCTCAGTTTACAGAGCCTTGCCCGCCAAGAGCTCCGTGCAATGGGATCATAGGATTTACATCAATACAGATGTCGGTTTTGCATGTTGGTATTGTGTGTTTTCTTTCTTTTCTTTTTTTTTATTTAAGTGGATGGAAATGCAGATTTAAAAAGGTTGCATTTTAAAATTTAAATGGAAAACAAAATGGGTAATGTGTCACATATTATTCAAGCTGTTTTGAATCACAATTTTGCAGTGCAGAATTAATTTAATCCATTTAAGAAGAATGAACACTGAAAAATTTCTTGCATTATTCCACAAAGAAATTGCCACAAGAAGATCAGAACGGGTTTGTTTTCTGAATTTCAGTTTTTCTTATGCTGCCATTTTTACTATCTCCAAAAGAGTAGCATTTATAGATTACAAAGGTCCTTTTTGAATTTTAATTTTAAACTTGAGCAAAGTTTGCGTTGTTTATTCACATTTTCAACTGAAAGTTTAAAGAAACTGTTTTATCCATTTGCACCTTTTTCCTCTCTCAGGCCATTAATTACCTCTCTTCACTGTAATAACCATGAAGCAAAGTGCCACTTAAAAACCCTCTGAAAACAGACTAAAGAACAAGAAAAAACTGTTTTAGAAAATATTTTTAAAAAACATCTCTTGAAATTTTACAGTAAAAATGTTGAGCTACAACCACAAACCTCAATGAATCAATTGATTTAATTTTATTGAGATTTCATAGATAGACAGAAGCAACGTAGTGCATAATTGATGCATTAGCTGAACCCTGGGACCAATCTCAAGTCTTTTGCTGCCTCTAATAGTTTTTCTTCATCCATCTTCCAATCAGCCCTGTCCAGCTTTACTGCCCCTGCTGAAGATAAGCATCTCCTCAGAATAAAGCTGCCATCACCGTGTTTCACTGGAGAGATTTTGAATTCATGTCGATACACTATTAGATTATCACTAGTGAGAGACAGAAAACCTTCTTTCATGATCTCTACATCCCCCTAAAACTGGCTTTAAAGATAATCTCTTGTTATTTATGAGGGCATTTAATTACACAGTATTTTACTTAGTGGTATTAAGGTAAGGCAAAACACTTGATTTAATCAGGATTTTTTCTATTTTATTTTTCTTTGTATGTCAAAATCCCAATAGAATACTTGGAAGTTTCTGGTTGCAACATGGCAAAATGTGAAAGATGAAGATGAATATTTTTGCAGTGCATATGCCGGTAATTTTCTCCAAAATAAAAAAAAAAGTGAGACTTTTTAATCTTAAAATGAATAGTGAGTCTTCAGATTTCAACAAAGCAGATCCAGAACTGCATCTCATTCTCATCGTTTAAAATGTACAAACAACCGATTTACTAAGATGTTACAAACTCCATGAATCCATAAATATTGTTCAGTTCTCTCTGAACAGCTTGGAACACAAAATCCTTTAAAATAATTTACTACGGGATGCTTTTAATAGTTTTTGTTTCATTAGATTTTGAATTTGAACACAGTCTGCTTATAAAAAACACAGCAAACTGTTTTCTGTTTTATTAAATTCCTCTGGTTGAACAGGTCAGTCTTTCCGTCTCATCTCAGGATGCTTTCTCCCTTATGCATGTTATTTACTGAAGAATCTAAAACTGTGCACAGGCCTGGGGTGAAAGTGAGCTCACTTCCTGTTTTCTCACGAAGAACTTATGTCTCAGTCGGATGACATCACCGGATTTATATCATGATGACTGATGTCCTTGCTATTTACAATAAAAGCACCCGAATGCTTCAAAGGTATCCTCAAAAAGCAGGCTTGTGTCTCCTCTGTGTAAGTGATTACAACCAGCCTCGATTTGTGTGTGAGGGGCATTTAGTCAGGTAAGCATCAGTGAGTAACTATATTAAGCCAATATATCTTGCATTGTAAAAACTACGCTCAGTAATGTCATGTTCCTAAGTTCTTTAACATGCTTTATTAGGCAGCCTCAAGGTGACCATTATCTATCAGCCTGCTCTGCATAGCTCTTAACTAGGACAATGTGGCTCTCCTGTAAAGCACCAAATGAAAAAAAAAAAATTCAAACCCTTAATCTATTTTTTTTCTCCACATAGACAAACCTTGATGCTGATTAATGGTAGTTAAACACACAAGTACTCTGTCAGTGAGATTGCAAATAGATGGTAATGTATTAGAGTCATTAAATACGCATCAGTCTTGTGGCATGAAATATGTTGACCCCAACCTGATTATATACATAATTAAAACCGCTCAACAGCCCCTGAGCACGGCGCCGCGGCACGGCTCGACAGACAGGAGTCACAATGATGCACGGCAGCCACGTCACTTATTTGCCTCATTTGTCATTTCTGCACATCATTTCTGTGCATATAAATTGTGCATTTCATCATTCAGCACTTTTGTCTTAAAGTGGTTTGTGGATTTTTTTACAAAACAATTCAACCTACACAAAAAATGTCTCGAAATGGGCTCTGAAGCACGAAGCAACCTTTTGATTCTTAGTTTTTAGCTTAAGAGAGTTTCTGCTCTTTTACTCTTTTAGCCAACTAGCTGAAGTTATTTAGTCAGAATTACCCTGTCAAAACAATATTCTGGTTTTTCAAAAAATAATTTGCCTTTATGACCATCAAATTGTTATGCTGCTGTTTCTGAAGTGAGAATTTTTCTTTATTTTTTATTAAAATAATCTATGATTAATGATCATAAAATTAAGTACGAAATGTCCTAAATTGAGAAATATGTGACTGTGTTGTTATCCTGAGAACTGAATAAATGAACATGAAAAACACCTGGAAGGTGCAGAACAGTGCTAAGTAAACAGTTTGTTTTTGCTACAAACAAAAAGTATTTGTGGTTCAGGTATTATTTGAGTTTTTGAGGTGCTTGTTGCCAAAGTCACACTTCATAACAACTACCAGAAAGTAAAAGATAGCATCCAAAATCATGGGAAATAATGATAATAACCTCCATATTAAGGAATAATTGTGAACCAATTTGTTTTTGTGTATCAGAACCACAGAACCAAGCTTCCATCCAAGCAAAAACACTGTACCAGGTTGTTTTGGGTCGTACCCCACATCAAGTTCTCCTACAGTTTGTGTGAACTTCCCAGAAAGAAGTTTTTCCAGAGCTTCACTCTGATTTGCCTCCAAGTGTGTCACTTGGTTCAGAGTCTAAAATGAGGAGCTGTTGGACACCAGAGCAGGATAAACAGCCTCTTCTGAACTTATCGTAGGTTTTAGGTGACATTTATGTTAATGATGATGAATCTTGCCCATCATACCCATACCCACTACAAAAGAGAGCACCACAGCTGTAACTCTTGACTTTTTAAACTGTAACTAAAGCATCAGTTTTAGCTTAACTTAGTTCGCAGCAGATTTGTGGTAAACTAATCTGCAGAACCACACAGCAAGGCAAGACAACTTTATTTATACAGCACCTTTCATCCAAAGATAATTCAAAATATTTGTACAAGAAAGTTAAAAACAACATGCAACAAGAAGATTGTAATAATAATAATAATAATAATAATAATAATAAATCAAGCAAGCAAGCCCACTGACCACACTAATTCAGGTATGCACTCAAAGAGACACTGACACTTTAATCCATCCATATGGATGGATCCATATATAAGCCTCCCTGTGAATATTGTTATTTTCAGCCCTGAAACTCTGGTTTGTTTGCCTAGAAAGTTTAGTTTGTTTGGGGAGGTGTAAATGTACAAAATCTGATTCAGAGGAAAGAAATTAAGGTCTGAAAAACTTAAAGCCTAGGCCTTGATTTTATTGAAGTGAATTCTGAAGTGCTTTGAAGGTAAAAGTGAATGCCAAGCAGACCAGCTTCCAAAAGCAGGAAGCAGAAGAGTCCAGCAATCTTTTGTCTTTTAACAAAATCAAAAAAGAAATCCTACGATCACTTAAAATTTGACACCACACCATTTTTGTGTATATATTGCAAAAAAGGAAGATGTGCTCATGTATTTGTCAGAGATTTTTCTGTTATTTCCTTTAGTGGTTATTGGAACAGCGCCACCACAGGTGAGGCGGTGAATAGGTTTCTCAAAGGGTCTGGTTCACTTGACACAGTGCAGTGTGAAAGCAAACTCCACCAGATTTGGTCCCCAATAAAACTGAGTCTACCAGACACCCTCAAGTACAGGATATTTGAAGATTTCTGAAGCCAAACAGCAGTTTGTAGAAACCTATCTAACATGCTGTGATATCTTTGAAGGCTAAACGTGAATTTGAATTTCCAAACTCTGGTGTGTCACAATAGTTTGACCTGATAGAGTAAGGTCTACACCACCTCAGCCTCTCACTGCAACACTGGGTCCCATTGCTGTCATGACCAGAGAGCTGAGCAGCGACCCACAATGAGGCAAGATTGCTCGGACAGAAATCAATACAGCTAAGGAATGAGAGTCAGAAGGCATTGATAGCAGCGCCAGGTCCTTATCGGTGTCCAGGCTGCCCTAGCAGGCTACAGTTGAGTGGAAAGCTATCCAGAAATCTGGACAGAGGCAAGAATACCCAGCGACTGAAAAACACCCCTGGAGTCATTACGCCGCTATCACCCTATCAAACACCAAGTCTCTCGTATGCTGTAATCCATCTTCTCCAAAACAATTCATTTGTCCTCTCCTCTTCTTCTTCTGTGACAGAAAGGAACTAAGGCTCCACAGGCTGCGGGGAAGATCCACACGGACTTCGAGAGGGGCTTCATTATGGCAGAAGTAATGAAATTCCAGGATTTTAAAGAAGAAGGCAGTGAGAGCGCTGTCAAGGTGAGCAGTTAGTGTGCCGGAGGAGATGAGGGGAAAGTCTCCTGTGATCAGTGGAGCTGACAGTCGCCATGCAGCTCCGACTGAAAACTCCTCTTCACCTTTACTCGGGGGAAGAAATTACTGCACACACTCAGGCACCACCAGTGACAAGCCAGCTGATTCTGGGTCTAAACACTGCCATTGTGCTCCAGCTGTGCATATCTTTATCACAATGTGTTCTAACTGGCTGATGGCAGCTCTTGCTTTTGACTTGGCACAGATGCTCGGAGGAAGCACTTTTTCAGCTCGCCAGGCGTTTATCAGATCTGTATGGTGCGCCGTTATCTCAAAGCTCTCCCGCGCCGAGTCCCCACTGTAGGCATGTGACAGTGATATAAAGTGGCAAGTTAAATAAAGTGTAAAATTTCTCAAATAAGGACTGCTTCATGGGTGGGTAGCACAGGAATATGACTTGCATCTCTTCGTTATGTCTATCCGCCTTTGTTTGGACCTTTTAGCTGTTTGTGTGCAGCCTCACGTCAAATGCAATAAGATACAGTGCATTGCTAAATTTTCACACCTACTGAATTAGTAGGTCACATTTCAAACACAATAACCAGCAAAATAAACTGGGATTTAATTTTATAAACCAGTGTACATGTGTGGTGTGGAAGGAAGTTACATCAGGTCTTTTTTTTTTTTTTATTAAAATCTGTTGCCTCTGATAGCACTAAGCAAAATCCAATGCAACCACCTGAAAATCAGCTTTTAACTCTCAATTGGATTTAGGTCTGGGCTTTAACTAGACCATTCGGACACTTGAATTTGCTTTGAGCTGAATCATTCCACCATGTTTCACCATGAGAACAATGTGTACAGAGTCGAGGTGTAGGGTTAGTTTTCAAATGTAAAAGTATTAAGCAGTTTGGGCCAAACTACAGCTGTTTAGACAGATTTGCAGTGGTGCCAAGCTGGGAACTATAAACTAACCCTGCTTTAAACTTGTCCACAACTTTATTCCTGACCTGTCTGCTGTGACCTTTTTGAGTTATTTATTTATTTCAAACAAGTTTTTAAAAACAAGAAAATCAGAGGACAGAGAAAACATGTGCATACATAATCAAGAATAAAATTACGTTTGATCTGTATTCTTCTCTAACAAACTTCTGAGGCCATCATACCTAAATCAGATTTAAATGTAGCGTATATGTCTTTATTTATTAATCAGGTGAAGGCAGTTGGTTACCCTGGATTTTCTTCAAATACAAAAAAAGGGAATAAAATACATGTGTCACTTCTTTATTGGGCATGAACATTAAAAATCCCCTTTTCTTCTACTGATACATAAAAGCTTCGTTACAATGAAGATGCTGGTTGTGATGTAATTAAGTCTCAAATGGCTTAGTAAACATTTAACAACACATGGGACTTTTTAAATTAAATACATCAATTTCTTTTAAAAAATATACAAATGTTTCTAATGTTCAGATTGAACATGAATTTCTGCTGAAAGCTGAAAGTATAGAATACAAAATTACCAAATTAATGCAGCAAAATGTTTTTTTTTATTATTTTCTGATTAAACAAACCTCCGTTAAATTGCTGCTTCATTAAATGAAAGAAGAAGTGACTAACTTTGCTCAGCATAAACCTCGTCATCCGCAGCCGTAAGCCATGCTGGCGTGATCTCTTTATCAGCAGCATCGACTCCTTGTGCCCACTTACAGACTCAGCTAATGTAATTATGGTGGCACAAAAGGCCCGTGGAGACCAGTGAGGAAGGAAGCACTAAAAAACATTTAAACCTCTTTAGTATTCAAGCCCTCTTTTTTAATTTTTTATTTATTTATTTTTTTTGTATTAATGCAGTGGCGGTGTATTGTCCACACCCCCAATAAGCTGCTAACTGAGAGTGAATCGAGTTGGTCTCTGGGGGAGTTTCACCATTGTTATCCAGGGTTGAGATCTGAGTGTCAGGTCCTCACTGCTTGCTCTCACTTTAATCCCTTTTTGAGCCTCAGAAGAACATGGAGCGTCTCTGACTGCGGCATTAAGGTCCATGCTATTTAATGCCAGTTGTGGGAATAGGCAGCATGAATAGGGCCAGAGTACGGGGATATCACATTATTAGTAATCATATCTGCTTAAGCCAAGCTTGCCGCTCCAGATGGCTGCTTTCAAGTGCAAATGAACCAGTTAGATGTGTCGGGTTTAATACATACTCAGGAATCACAAATAGCCATTGATTTTTTTTTTCCTGTCTGCCTCTCCATCCTGTGTTTCTGGTGGTATTGAGCTTGGATTAAATGGTCTCCTGAGCCTTTTAAAGGGACATTGATTCCTCTAATTAATTGTGCACCGTGCAGAACCAGAATGGATAAACCTGTCTGTGTTAGCACTTCAAGTCAATTATTTTTGAGTTTGCCGGGAAGGAGAACAAACACTTACAGTATACAAAAGAAATGTTAGAACTTATTTAGTTTCCTTGAGAAGTTTCACATCGCTGTAATCAAAGACTTATTAACATTTTGTGCCTGTGCACATGAAGCTCAAATGGGCAGACGAGAGGATTACTCGCTCAGTGGGAATTCAGGCACCCCCATGCGCAAAACACGGATGCATTTCTCTGTGTGTGATTCAGTGTGTGTGTGTTTGCATGTTTGATATATATGAATGACAGTGGCGCTACCCAGGGGTGTGCTTGGGGGCAATGGCCACCCCTACAAATTTTTCCTGCCCACCCAACTGTCCTCTCCCTGGCCAGATAGTCACTTCTTTATTTGTTTTATCCTTTTTTATTTCATTTTTTTTTGTTTTCCACAGTGTGTTGATTGTGATTTTTTTTTTTTTATGTGCATCTTCACCGCTTTAAAAGCTTTCTGGAAGCACCTCTGGAAGACACAGTTTGATACCACGGTGGATTAGGAGTATTAGGATAAATAGTTAATATAGTTAGTATAATGACATTATAGACTTACAGCAGTTATGCTTGTTGTCACCTTATTTAATCTTTCTCTGAATTTCTTTCAGGCAGCTGGGAAATACAGACAGCAGGGAAGAAACTACACGGTTGAGGATGGAGACATCATCTTTTTCAAATTCAACGCACCAAATGCTCCAAAGAAAAAGTGACTTAGGAAGAACATTATTGTTTACAAAACTGATTTTATGCTTCATTTCCTTTTGGGCCCCTGAACATCCAGTGCCACCAGAGGGTATTCACACCCCTTCCCTTTCCCCACATTTCCTTAAACTTATTCTGAAACCGATGTGTGTGAAGTTTTGTTTTTAAATAAATCTACTCAGAATGCCCTGTAAAGACAAATAAAAATACATTGTCAGACATTTTTGTACATTTTCTAAAAATGTTACTAGTTAAGCTTGATAGGAAAGTAAGCATTCACACCATTTGAAGTCACAGTCAAAATGGAGATCTGCATCTAATTTCCACTGAATTTCCTTGAGATGTTTCTTCAACTTGACAAGCCTGTGCTAAAATTGAGTCAACAGAATTTGAAAAATAACCCATTTGTCTGCAAGATCTCTCACAGTTGACAATGGATATTGGAGGAGAAGCCAAGCAAGGGGCAAATCTGGAGAAGGAAATGAAGACATCTCAGTACCACTGTACATAAAAAAATGTTGGTTGGAGATCTGGCTGCCTGAACAAATTGATAAATGAGGGAACTTTTTTCAGCAGCAGAAACTGGGTGACAAATATACAGAGATTCTTCAAGAAAGCCTTCTCTAGAGAGTCCTGAAGCTCAGACTTTGTCAACGATTCATCTGCCAACAAAAGAATCCACCAACGAACACTGCCAAGATAATAAAGGAATGGTTTCAGACCATACTGTGAATGTCCTTGAGTGGCCAAGTCAGAGCTGGACTTAAATCTAAGTGAACATCTTATGTAAATGATATAAAACTGCTTATAAAAATGTATCCAAACATGTTTGCGCTTAAAAGGATCCGTAAATAATAATGATAGATATTCAAAGCAGGTGTACTAAGCTTATAGAGATGGTCCAGCGAAGACTCGAGTCTCACTAACGGTGCTTTGACAAAATATTCAGCAATGGGCAAGAAACACGACATTAATTTTTATATCTATATTAATAGCTGATTTTTCCAGTATTTGTTGGGTAATGTGTGTAGATATACGAGACAAATAAACACTCAGATCTATTTTAGAACCATACAGAGTGGGAAAAGCGAAGGGGTGTCAAAACTGTCTGTTGACACGAAAGTGCCTCTTCTTAAGTTTTGGTTCCCCACATTGAGACCCAAAACAGAGGTTGTGAAAACTGTGACAGATTCTCTATTTAAGATCAGCATCAGGGACTCCCCACCCCCCTAACCTCCTCTAAATTGTAGCAGCATTTTAAGGAGCATATTACTCTCCAGATACTTCATTAATCTCCATCATGGGTGCCAGCGCTGACACAGATGACAGTGGAGACAATACCACCTGCTCTGCTCCCCCTCCTGAAGATAATGCATGTTTTACAGTAGGCCAGATGTCTACACTCAATAAAACATTTGACAAAAACCAGCCTGTGTGTATTTAGGGATGTCTGTATTGAGCGGAGAGCTGCATGGGGACGGCGATAGCGGTCCTGCCGACCACTGATTAGAGAATTAAAAGACACAGCTGACATTGACTGTAGTGTAGAGGGGACAATTATAATTAAGTCTGTTAAGTGATGCTGATTTTGGAAGGGCACATGGAGGATGCAGGTGCTTTTTGCCAAAAGGAAGTGGTCATTTTGAATTAGTATTTCCAAACAGATTGAACTGACCTTTCACTGAATGTGTGTGCTCTATCTTTCCCCTGAAACCAGAGCTGGCCCAAAGCATAAGAAAACTAAGTCACTCATAGTTAGAGCTCCAAGGACAGTAGGGCATAATTTTTTGGGTGGAGTTTTGTGGCAGCTTTCCAAAAAACCATTTCAGGCTGTTTTGAAATTTCAAGGGGATGACATAACTTATAATATAAGTTATATGTGCATCCTGCACATAATTGTTTGTGAGTGAGGTAGAGTCCAGTTATAATGCTGTTCCCAATTAAGTAAAAACAAAGAAACACATTGTGAAATGTACCTTAAGAATATTTTATGAACTTTATGAAAAACAAATTGATCTCAAGAATATATTTTTATTTTTTATATAAATTGTTGAAATGGGAGACATTAACGACATAGAAATATGCTTTCTTTTCTTTTTATTCTGAAGACTTTACACATATTGCATCAAATTTATAAAACTAAAAATGGAAAACATAAAATTTGAAGAAACATTTTATTAATATAGCTCCACGCAGCTTACTTGAAGGCAGAGTATCATTTTCACTCGATTGCTGTGTGGTATCTGAATATCTGTGAGTTTTATAGGATCAGTTTTTTTTTTTACCAAGCATGCTTCCACACGGTGGAGATTTTTCTTTCTCACTGAAACCTCCAGTCTGTGTGCTACACTGCAAATAATAGCAAAAATAACCATAAAAAAACTTGAAGAAATATGTTGCACTATTTTTCTTCAACTGGCTGTATTGTAAAATTGATTGTATATGCATTGCTCAATATTTAAAATGAAAACAAAAAGTATTCATACACCTGCCAGATTAAAGCTTTCAAATAATCTGGATGCAAATGTAACATTGTAGCATATTAACCTTTTGGAGTGACCAACAATCTGATGGGAAATCTTGAAAGGGACCTGAAGACTACAGCAATGGCAGAGAGGCCTTTCTGCCTCAAACATTTGAATTTAATCACCCAAGAAGAATCACAGTGAAAACGTTCAAAAAATCTGATCAGCTTCTACACAGGTATCTACTAACCATGCATGGAGGGTTCCACCCCAAATCCAGCACCCTGAGACTGTACACGAGCCGCAAGTAACGAGGCAGAGGACTAGTGAGTGTGAGAACCACTGTCCAGGACGAAGCATCTAAGATCCATAAATACATCAGGGACAAAGCCTCAACAGACAATGTGCTCAGTGAATGTCTCAGACAACAGGGAACGGAGGTTGAGGTGCCAGAGATACCATCATGGGAGGACAAGCCCCTACATGGGATGTACCACCAGCAAATAACCCAAGTGGCTGATATCAGCAAATCCTACCAATGGCTGGAAAAAGCTGGACTCAAGGACAGCACAGAGGCCCTCATCCTGGCCGCCCAGGAACAGGCCCTAAACACCAGAGCAATAGAGGCCCAGATCTACCACACCAGACAAGACCCAAGGTGTAGGTTGTGCAAGGAGGCCCCTGAGACAGTCCAGCACATCACAGCAGGGTGCAAGATACTGGCAGGGAAAGCGTACATGGAGCGACATAACCAAGTGGCAGGCATAGTGTACAGAAACATCTGTGCAGAATATGGACTGGAAACCTCGAGATCAAAGTGGGAAACACCCCCAAAGGTGGTGGAGAACGCCAGAGCTAAGATCCTGTGGGACTTCCAGATCCAGACAGACAAAATGGTAATGGCGAACCAACCAGACATTGTCGTAGTGGATAAACAACAGAGGAAAGCCGTTGTGGTAGATGTAGCAATACCAAGTGATTGCAACATCAGGAAAAAGGAGCACGAGAAACTGGAGAAATACCAGGGCCTCAGGGAAGAACTGGAGAGGGCCTGGAAGGTGAAGACCACAGTGGTGCCTGTGGTCATCGGGGCCCTCGGGGCAGTAACCCCCAAACTGGAGCAGTGGCTACAACAGATCCCAGGAACAACATCAGACATCTCAGTCCAGAAATGTGCAGTCCTTGGCACAGCCAAGATACTGCGCAGAACCCTCAAGCTCCCAGGCCTCTGGTAGAGGACCCGAGCTCAGAGGATAAGAACCACCCGCGGTGGGTGAGAAGGGAATTTTTTTATATATTTACTTTTTTTTTTTTTTTGGTCATTTAATTTCGATTTTAATTTTCTATTGAAATATTAAAAAATGGTTGTAGTTTTTTTACTTTCATCTTTTGAGAAATGTCTGTTGAATAAATCTATATCAATATCAACATGTTTTATAAAATGATTTAAACTGGATATTAGATGCTTGTGGAAATTCATAAAGTATACACAGCACAGTGGAAACTTTGATGTTGCTGTTTCTTTTTGACTTGACGTTCAGTTTATTTATTTGATCTATTCTCTATTTATTGATGCATAAAAAGCAATTAAATAAAGTCAAGCTTCAGAATTTTTTTTTTACAAAACTAAACAGTTCAAAACACTTTACTGTCAAAATTAGAACTGCGCAGAGTCACAAACGAACCTTTGCAGGCATAAATTGTCATTTAGCTATGGCTTCATAAAAAGAATTCATCAGTGATTCTTCTTGACCTTTGACCTAACCTAGGAAGCAGATCTGAATCATTGAACACAACACCTGAGTACTTCTTCATTCCAGGATGAGGTTTTTCATGGGTTTACAGTCCTTCTCTTCCTGAACCGCATGGTTCAGGAAGAGAAAACAAATGCATATTAACAAAACAAAATGAAGCACTAATCCACAGAGCACTTTCTTGCAAAAAAAAATAAAATAACTTCACATTTCAGAACACTCGATATAGCATGAAAATAGATGTCTGCACAATCCGGCAGTGCAGCCAGAAAACGATTCCTGTTGTCTGAAGTAGTGTTTTTCTCGCCCCTATACTTTGTGTGTAAGTGTTTGTGAAGCATTTATGCTGATGGAATTGCGCCGCTGCAGCCCAAGCTACTTCGGAGTAAGATTGTGTTCTCGGCGGGAGTCCGAACAAAAGAGCTGTAGATCAGCAGTGCTTTGCTGAATATCTCGTAAGCATTAAGAGTGCAGCGAAAGAAAATGGCCATTTGATGGGGACAAAAAGATTGAATAAAAATGGTCATTTTGCCGGAAAAGAAATGTGTTGCATATCCAACTTTTGGATGGGATGTTTTGCGGAGGTAGCAGAAAGCATGGTGTTTGTCATGGAAATAAGGTGGATTACAGTCTTTGAGGTCTGAGATCAGTGGCAAAATATAGGAGGGTATTCATTGGGCTTATTTAAAAAGCAATGCGGAGGAACATATGTGTATCTTAAACCATTGGCCCTATTTTGCTTTGTGTTAACCACTAATTTTAATCACTCAAACTCCACGCAGCACACAAAGGAGGGACCCAACACTTAGAGCCCTCATATATACTCCCTCAGCGAGCTTCAGCGGACAGTTTTTTAAGTGAAACCATTCAAATCCTCTGGAGATCACAATGGGGGCTTGAGACAA